TGTCCCTGGCCAATGTCAACCTCCATGGGTAGATCAGGCATGGGCTTTGTCTGGGACAGTGCTGGTTATTCCACGGTGAAGCCATAATGGGAACTGTGCTAATGATTTCAGAGTGAGGCATCATGGGTTGGTAGTGGAATTCATCCTCAGAATCATAGAATTGTTAAGGTTGGAAAAGACTTTTAAGATCATGAAGTTCAACTGTCAACCCAGCACCACTTGAAGACATTAAACCATGTCCTCAAGTGCCACATCCACATTTTTTTTTGATATTCCACCACTTCCCTGGGCAATCTGTTCCAATGCTATACGTCCCTTTTCATGAAGTAGTTTTCTCTAGTATCTAACCTAAACCTCCCCTGGCAGGACTTCAGGTCAGTTTGGTTTTCTGGAGTATATACTGCCTTGCAGTGCTGGAGATGGTTACTGTGTAGATGCAACACACTGAAAGTATTCCAAATTTTTTCCCATTATATTTTATTTTTGTTATGGATTGACTTATTCTGGGCAGTCTACATCATTGCAGTAGCATGAAATTGTTTATCAAGACCCTTTTTGCCCCAGAAGCAGAGTGTTATTCCAGAGAATCTATGTTGGAGGACAAGGCAGATGTTGCGGACCTGTCTGTACCCTGCAGCTGAGTGTGGTGCAAAGATCACTGATGTAGATCTAAGCAAGCTGGTCTGTCCACATGAGGCTACAGAGTGCCAGGGATACTTGCTTAGGGCCTGAATACAGCACAGCATATTTGTTGATAAAATGTCTATAAAATCATGAATGGCACAAAGAAGGGGAATGACTGTTCCTGGTTTCTTCCATAGAGGAGGAGATAACATTGCCATCAGTTGATAGTAATGAAAGAGAAGTAAAGAAGCAATGGCAGATGTTTCAAAGAACACATGGTTGATCTATGAACCTTCTTGCCACAGGATGTTGCAGGTGCAGGAGGTTCATACATGTTGAAGGGCCAATGCCCAAACTCATGGAAGAGAAATCCATCGTGTGTTACTAAAATCAGCCAAACCTTGTCTGACTTAGGAAATCCCTGAGCACCAAATAATGAAGCTGGGTATATGAATTTATGGGGAAAAAGTCACGTGTATATATACTATTCTTATACTCTTCCTCAGCCATCTGCTTGTGGTCAATGTTGGATTCAGGGTACCTGTGCACTGTGTTCCTCTGCACATTCTGGTAGTGGGCTGGTACACCAGCACAATGTCCCTTTACAAGAAAGAGAAAGCTGTTGGGGTTGTCCCTCCAAGTGGACCTCATGGAGATTGTAATGAGGAGTTTCACTCTGTGTCTTGTCTAAAAGGCACCATGGAAAAATAAGCTTTGAAGAAGGTTGAGTGGGTCAGAATCTTTAAGAGTTTTCCATCAGAGAATGGACAAGGCCTGGAAAAATCAAAGGCAGGGAAGACCCCAACAGAGTACCCATTTGGTGTCAGCCCTTATAGTCTGATTCTTTTTCTCCCTTGCCTATACCTTCCTGCAGTTCTGCTTGATTTCTGTGTCCCAGCCATTCCATGGCTTGGGAGAGATGGCTTTTGTGGTGTATTGGTGCTCCACAGTCCAGAACTGGAGCAACACTCTGAGACACGACATTTCTTCTTGCCAAGCTGTTCTTCTTGATGCCAACCCAGATAAGCTCTGTCGTGAAGGCCTAAGGAGCTGGGAGGCGTTATAAAAGACAGAGAGAGAACTAATGACATTGCCTCCAATCCAGGTGATAGTAATTTAGTCTGTCCTTGATCATTCAAATTACATCTAATTAAATATCAGACAAACCTGCCGGCTGTGGTCACACTGCTGTACTGTGGGAACCTTGGCAAACTCTTACTAGAGTAGTACAGACAGTATTTACCTAGGTGTGGTCCAATGAAAAACTCTGTCTATACCTTTCTCATTATCTCAGCTTGTCAGGGGATGCATTTCCTATACTCAATTCTAAGGTCTTCTATTCAATCTTCTTCACCACAGAAGAGAAAGAAAACCTTATGTCACACTTAACCTTTCCATTTCTCTTTAAACCTTGTGTTTCTTATGGATGACACAGAGTCATCTCTTTATACTCTGCTAAAGGGCAGGGGCATTCATGCAGAGGAAATTAGGATGAACTCAGGTAGCTGGAATCTGCTTCCAAGGCAGTTGCTTCTGCCTTTACTTGACGCAAGTAAAACCCAGCTACTTGGAGACTGACCCCATGAACTGTGTCCTTTCCTAGTGTTAATGATCCCTTGTACCCCTCTTCCTCTGGCGGTTACCAGCCTTCCCATTTTTTCCAGAGGCAGTTTCTGATGTTAAGAAAACAGTGATTCGTTCTAGTTTTGAAATTTACTGAATTGCAGAGAGCATTCACTGCCGCAGTTTGCTTTCCATGAGTTACTCTGTATACTGCTGGATAGATTCTGTAATGCTTAAGTAACGGAGAGTTGAGTCTTTCTTTGATGTATTTTCTCTTGTATTCCCTTATTTCAGAGAGTTGAATGAGATGAGTAAGGTGCCTATTCCTTAAAACTGTGTTGTATAGGAGAAAGATGTGACTCTGATCCTCTTACATGAATCTATTTGTAAAGTCTATTCCAGCTTCATGAATAAAGTCCTTTCTTCACCCCAGATTCATGGTGAGAAAACAGTAAAAAAGACATTCATCTGATATTAGGGAAAGTGAGAATGACTTGGGGCAGAATAGAAATCAAAATTTCTGGATATTCTGTCTACCTATGTGAATTGGAGGGAAATTAAAGCCTGCTGGTGTCTGTGCTTCCCCATCTGTAACACAGGGATATGGATATATTCCTGTCTTATCGGATATATAATTACGAAGTCTGTGACAAATCTTAGAAATTCAACTGTGAGATAGTGTATAAGCATATAATATTAATGTTTTATAATCTCCCTAAAGTGTCTCTGGGGATATCTTTAATGAGAAGGATATAGTGATATCAAAAGAAATCTTTTTTCACTCCAATAATTTTTTTAGAACCCAAAGTGAAACTTGTTTCCACCAACTGCTATCTCTGCAACCATCTGGAAAATCACATTTTCTGAAGCTTTCCTTCTCTTTATCATCTGTAACTAAAGCTATAAAATGGGAAGATGTTCCTGGTTTAATTAACACCCCTGTAGTTCAAAAGCTGGTCTTAGTAATGAGAGGCAATTATAGGCTTTATTGAGGGACAGTCAGGTAGAACTAACCCATCATCAATCTATTGAAGACCCTTTCCAGGTAATTTGGAAACTGCTTTTCATGATGAACAGGCTACCTGGCTCAATACAACAGGTGAATCTCTTTCTTTTGTAACCTGAAAAAAGAACCTCCTATTTTGAGTTCTGTGCTTCTTTTATAAATTCATTTTTACATCCCAGCCTTCTGTCAACAACTAGCAACTGAGCTACGGAAATACCTGTTGCTTTTTGGAGGGAATTCTTGTCTGACTTTCTTGTTTTATTTTCCTTGTCCCCTGTTGCTTTACATTTTGAAGGTTAAATCCTTGTGTTCATGTTTTAGTTCTAGTTAAAACTGCAGACTCTGTGGTGCATCCACATCATGAGGGGTATGCAGGGTTCTGGTTCCTGAACTCAAAAATGATGTGGTAGAGCTACAGAAGATCCAGACAAGGACATTGAAATGTTCCAGGGAATGTGACTTCTGCTATATGAGTTGAAATGGCTGTGGTAGATAAGGTAGATGTAGGACTTCAGTACTGGAACTAAGGGGCATTAGCTGAAACAAGGAGATCTGCTTGAAATTATAAAATACCTTTTTTACATTGCATATAGTGAACTTCTGGAATTTGTTGCCACAGGAGATTGAGGAAGTATGCAGTGTCAACTGTTTCAAAAAAGGATTAGACAAATTCAGAGCAGCAAATATATTATATTAGATATATTAATCTTGAATTCAGTTCTGTCCCAAGATTTCTATTACTATGATTGTAGAGAAATAGTTGTCTATGGAGAATAACTTATTGACTGTTTTAGACACTTCTGTGTACACAAGAGGAGCTGCCTTTTTGAAGTACATTATTTCTACTCACAGACTTTAGAGGGACTCTAGATAGTGGTACCCATATGGTCAACACATACCATGACCAGGTAGGTCCCAGCCATCCCATTTTGGAGACTTTGGTACCATACCTCAGAACCTCAGCTATAAGGAATGTAGATTTTTAAAGCAGTGTGATATGAAAAAGTGAAATTATGATTTCAAAACAGACCCCCATTTATGGTTTGTTTTAGAATAAAGACTTAGCTATGATTTTGTCATCAGTAAACTATGCTGTAAAATGTGGTACATCCTCTTTCCTGGATTAGTTTAACATCCTGGTGAAATTGCCTTTGCAATTCTGTCAAAGCTGCAAAACTATGGAAAAAGCTGATAAGTTGTTTATTCTTCAGTAATGAAAGACAGAAAAAACATTAAATCCCTAAACTCCTATGGTGTTCCAGCAATGACTTTCATAAGATGTCAAGGAGAAAGGCTTATTCAGTATGGAAGAGTTTGAAAAGGAATTTATTTGGTTCGTGCATCTGTGGATGTCGTAATTCCACACTATCAGCAGACACAGAACTTGAATGCCATGAGTGTACTCTGACTTTGGGACAGGGCAACTACTCTCAAAAACACAACGGGAAAGTCCATCTATTTCCAAATTTTCCACTATTGCATGTGATACAGGACGGACATGAAACTTCTTCAGTGAATTAATGTGATATAATCATGTTTAGGAGATTGAACATTGTTTGAGGTAGGAGGGATTGCCCATTCTTTCCTCTTTCCCATTTCTGTGTGAACAACTTTGTTGTGTCTTATTTACTTCAGACACAGGATGTGGGGGAGGAGGTATCAGAAGATCGTGTGACTGCAGTGTTCCTGTAGCTTTGGATCTGGCTGTGGCATCAGAGCCTCTGTGATTCACGTGGCTTGTGTGAAGGGGGAACTGTAGTCATCACCTGCCTTGCTGACTGTGCTGTGTTTTCATCCCCCCTCCCAGGTTACGGACATGCTGCCCCAGGGACGGATGCGGGGAAGGCCTTTTGCATGTTCTACGCGGTCCTGGGGATCCCACTGACACTCGTCATGTTCCAGAGCCTGGGCGAGCGCATGAACACCTTTGTCAAGTACCTCTTGAAACGCATCAAAAAGTGCTGTGGGATGAGGAGCACCGAGGTCTCCATGGAAAACATGGTCACTGTGGGTTTCTTCTCCTGCATGGGGACACTCTGCATTGGAGCAGCAGCCTTTTCCCAGTATGAGGAATGGAGCTTTTTCCATGCTTACTATTACTGCTTTATAACATTGACTACGATAGGGTTTGGAGACTATGTGGCCCTGCAGACCAAAGGGGCCCTTCAAAAGAAGCCTCTCTACGTGGCTTTTAGCTTTATGTACATTCTAGTGGGGTTGACAGTCATTGGGGCATTTCTAAATCTGGTTGTTCTCAGGTTCTTGACCATGAACAGTGAGGATGAGAGGCGGGATGCTGAGGAACGGGCGTCCCTGGCAGGGAACCGCAACAGCATGATTATCCACATCCAAGAGGACTCCCAGCATGGTCGGCCACGGTACAAGGCCGAAGTAACAGACCTTCAGTCAGTTTGTTCCTGCATGTGTTACAGGTCCCACGAGTACACCAGCCGGGTGGTGTCCCACCAAAATTCTTTCAGCTCAAAGCTGAACCCCCAGTACTTTCACTCCATCTCTTACAAGATAGAGGAGATCTCGCCAAGCACATTAAAAAACAGCCTTTTCCCATCTCCTGTCAGCTCCATCTCACCTGGGTTGCACAGCTTTACAGATAACCACAGGCTGATGAAACGGCGAAAGTCCATTTAAAGGGATTTGTCTTTTGCTTTCCTTGTTTTCCCCAGTTCTTCTCTGTTGTTTTGGGTTTTTTTGTTCCTTGAGTGAGACAGAGTGAGGCCAAAGGGAGCAGAGCAAGCCAATCCTCCTCTGAGACTCAGCTCTTGAGCATGAAGCATGGATTATTACTGTTCCAGCAAAGTATGCCTTACATTACCCCCTCGGTGGATGTCAGAGGATTCAAGGTGACGTGAAGTGGGTACCAAATCCAAAGTTGCACACACAGCTGGGAGCCTTCATGTGCCACTGGCACTCCTGACCTAAAAAACTTTTTTCCTCACGAGCAGGTTGCAGCGTGGGTGTGTGCTTTGCGTGTGTGTCGGGTGTGTGCGTGTGTGTGTGTGCAATTCCACAACTAGTGCCATGTGACAAAAATTAAAGCATCAGGTATTATTTTTTTTTTTTTTGCCCTTGAAGCAATTGTGTTCCAGCCTGCTTTTTAGATTGCTTCCAAAAAGGAACAGGGAGGGTGGGAGGGGAGCCAATTTGTTTTGGGTTTTTTTTGCCAAGACGAGCATGCGCCATAAGCAGTCAATATACCAGATGTATCATGAAAAATTTTTTAATGCTAGATTTTAGATTGTATTAACATTTAAAAAAGGCAGGAAAAGATGGATCATTTTAGCTTGCCAGTTCAAAATTAAAAAAAAAAAAATAAAGCATGCACTTTGTAAAACTGGTATGCATAATAAAACACAAGAAAAACTAGCAATGGAATTAATAATCAAAAGCAAATAATCCTATTGATTTAACTATATTTAATTTTAAAATTTTCAACTGTTCCAACAATTTGAAAGTGGAATTTTTAAGATAAATTGGGAGAATTGTTGGAACAAAAGAGTGTATTTTGTTATTTTAATTTTATTTATAAATTATTATTATTATTAGTATTATTATTATTATTATTATTATTATTATTATTATTATTATTATTATTATTATTTTGTGCAGCAATTACCTGCATGAATAGGAATTATATTTTTTGGAATGCTTGGTTAAGATGGGTATAAATAGGAGGATGTATATTTTTTCTTATATAATAGTGACAGGGCATTCCTTGTTTTAAATAAAAACTGAAGATGATTGTCTCTAAATGCTTTTGATTTGTAAATAATGGATAGGCTTTGTTGGTCTCAGGAAGAATTCAAGGGACAGTATCTTGTGTTTGGCTCACTGGGAACTTGTGAGATTAGATGTGACATTGCTTTTTTTGCTAGGCAAAGGCAAAATGCATTTAGCAGTAATGGGCAAAAATAGCTTTACTCTAGTGTTTGGAGGGTAACAGTGGGGGTGGTTGCCTTGGCAAGTTGTGGTGGAGGATGTTGAGACCATGTTTGTAGAGCTGTTCCTTGGACATTGTCCATCTCTCGGTTGTTCATCTGGACCAAACAGACTTTATAGAACTGAATTAGAGGCCTAATCCAGCTCCCCTTTAAGACAATAGGAATTTGCAATGATTACATGGGATTTAGTGCTTTTGGAGATTTATCTTTGATTTTACAAGGGTAGGACTGGGAGTTTTATAAACCTGCACCTTTGTCTCTGATTTAATTCTATCTTTTGAATTGCTTTCTGTGTTAATTTGCCATACAAACCCCATCTCTTTTTGGCACTAATCACTTCCTGCCGATTCTACCATTTCGTGCTCTCAGTGTAAAAGCAATAATCCTTTTTTTTACCCTTAAAACTAGATGGTGTGTGCACAGCTCTGAGCTCTGTGTGCTGATGGATGTTGATATCCTTTCAAAGAGGAACCTATAAGGAGCATTAATAGGGAGAAATAAGGATTGTCATTCCTCCTCTATTCTCTTCTACTTGGCTTTAAATTATTAACTATCAAATACGTTCATGTTCTTCACGTCTGCCTTTCAACAAGTAAATGAAAAGCAAGTTATCCATGACTTTGACTCCTCTATGCAGCTTCCTTTGGGCTTAGAAATTGCTGTGGAATGAAATCCTCCATTAAGGTTAGTGAAGAAACATCTTAGGATTCTTAATGAGGATCGATGAGGATGGACTTTTTCAGAGTAATGTGTGGGGCATGCTGGGGGCATTAATGCTGCGCTGCCAGTACCGTGTCCTGAGGCAAATGCTCATGGCAAAAGGATTGAAGCAAACATACCTAAAAAAGCAGTTTCAGGATGTGTTAAACCCCCTCTAGTGTTTGCTACCTAGAAGCTGGTTCCTGTGAGAGTAGCCCACGGGGTTCACAGTGCTCTCCAAATTCACTTGCTTCATCTTTGCCTGTGTCATCCCTGAAGTGCAAATAAATGCAGATCTTTTTTGCTGCTATGGAGATAAGAAAACAAATGCCTGGAATTTAGACGTCTATATCATGTGTCAGGTGGAATTCTGTCTACCTGGCAAAGGAGAATTTTTGTAACAGGACTTTTAGTGAAACCTTTAAACAGAAAAAAAGCAGTTTCATCTTATAAAACATTGGTTAACCTTTTTTCTCTTTTCCTTTAAGAAGAAATCGCTATTTCTGCCGCATGTAAAAATAGTCTTTAAATGTCCTGTAAATCATGTTCAAAACTTCACATACATTATTTGATTTGTTACTAAATCTTCCCTCTGGAACCACATATGAAGAGTAAATTTTAATACATGGGGTATTTAACCAGGGGAGAAACTTACCTCAGCATGTCGTGGGTTATCTGCCACTTAGACTCTTTACATTAAAACTCAGTGGCTTTATAATAGCTCTGCTTTAGCTTAGTTGAAGTTTATAGAAGTAGTTGAAGAAATCTGTGTATGTTGATATGAACGAGCCAGAGTAGATGTCCATAGCCATACTTTTAAGTCTAAAAGCTGTAATGAGTGTGTATGTGGGAAAGTGTTTTGCTTGAATGTATCTGCATTCCTTGTATAAAGTTCTGGGATTTTCAAATATGTTTTTTTATTTTTATTTTCTGACTGAAGAGCCCAAAGTTCTGTCCAGTCTGTTCTTTTGTTACACATAGGATTTTGAAGTGGCATGGAAACTCTTTCCTTTACAAGGAGACTCCTGCAGGACTTTGCTTTGTGAGCAGCCAGAGGCACAAGAACTCAGTAGACATCACACTGTAAACATCAGTACACCAGGCAAAATATGTCTCTCTCTTTAGTCATTTTCGTGGCTTTTGACTGATGTGTGAATACTGACTTGGTCTGTCTGGAACTGGAACAGACATCATCATAAAAGGGAAGCTTTCATCCCAGGTTAATCCCAGCTTTTCAGTTAGACATGAAAAATCAGTCAGTGAAAGGTGAGTTGACTTTTGTCGATTCCATCTGTGACTCCTTATTGCCCTGTATGAATAACAGTTTTCTTCCCACAACACTGCTTTTCACAGAATATTTTCTCTAGTATCTGATTTGTTTTATTCCATTTAAGACACTATTTCTTTCAGAACAACTTCTCTTGCTCGCTACTCACTCCTTTGAAACTCAGCTAGAAGCAGGTAGTAGTGGTGCTGCTTATGACTAGACATCCTAATGTCTGCTATCACTTTGTGATGCACTCTCATTCCCCAGAGTCTCATTTCCCCTACCCTTCTCTATTATTAAGCATTAGAAATAATAATAATAAATCAGATTAGTCTATTTATGTCACACTAACGTGCTCTTCATCAAAACAACACAAATTTAGCTCCCTGCTGTCGACTTTGATTATATAACAACCCTATTATCCTATCATATTTCATATTATCATCAAAGGGAAAAATCAGTTTGATCAGTGAAGCACCAAAATAGCTTTGACTGAGCATGCTGTGATATGAGAAGGAAAGAGGAAACTTAACAGAACAATGCAGGCACGAGTCTCCACTTGGTCTTCATTACTGTGTAAGGGAGATCCTGACTGATCTAAGTGGCACTGCTTTGCCAGAACTTTATACATGTATCTGCTTTACAGGGATGACTGTAATGGGACAGCTTAGAAAGTGTGTGTGGATGCTACTTCAAGAGTCCAAAATAGCTTCTAGGTAATGAATGGAGAAACGTACAGTGACCTTCAGCAATCGCCTTCTGTTTGAACTCCTCTGTAACAGCTCATTAGGACAAACTAGACATCACAAAAAAAAGAAAAAAGAAAAGAAAAAGAAAAGAGAGAAGTAACCAAATTAATCTACTGTATTGTACATTTTCTCATTACTTTCCTAGTGGTTTAATCAATGAAATGCCAGGGCAGTAATCAAGATTATTGTGAATCAGACCTAAGCAAAGTAATTCCTTGTTTTCTCTGACAGATTTGAAAGTTTTTATTACAGAAAAAAAAGCTTGATTTGTTGCTGAAAGCTTAAAAAAAAAAAAAAAAGGCAGTCAGTGGAACCAAGGTGGAGAACAAAAATGTTCCAGAGCTATTTGGTGTGTACAGACCAGAGGGCAGGGGATTGGGTGGAAGTGGCTTTTAGCTGAAGTTTATGTCCTCATTTAACTTTATGTAATATTTCTGTTCATATTAGGATCTAATTAAGACAGTCATTGAAAATCTTTATGAGGAAGCGGGATGAGAGAGATGTGTTGGAGTGTGTCCATTACACTAATGTTATGGACTTTTTCATGCATATTTCAGCAAGACACTATTACTGACTGGAGTATTGCACAAATTACAATGAGAATCACACCACTGCTACTTCCATCAGCCAAAGATATGTAACACTTGGAGAACTGAAAAAGGAAATATTGCCTTTCTGGCCAGTCTGCCTGTCATCGAACTCTGATATAAAACTTTATTTTGGGTACTTCAGCAAGATAAAGCATTTGAAAAGGAATAGCCATCATAACGATTCACCAAAATTGAAACAAATGGAATAATGACATTGGACACAGAGAAATTGATTACAGATGGCAGGTGCCCTGGGACTCCTATGCTAGTTAATCTGAGCTCAGAAGCTGAATTAAACCCAAGAAAAACTGATGGGACTCTTTGCTAAAATGCAGTTTTCAGTTATTTAAGGTGCATATAATGAATATGGTAAAGGAATATTCACCCAAAAAAGTAGTAAGAAGGCAAAAAAAAATTGGGAAAAAAGAAATTGTTCTCAACAGCAGAACTAGTTTTGTTATTTCCAGTTGAAACTGCTGTGAGATGATGCTGAAGAACTGTTAGCGCTTTCATCTGTGTAGAATCAGTCTGGGAGATTGACTGTCCTCTTCTCAGTCCAGGCCAACACCAGTGTTCCACTGACTGCTGCTGATAAGGAGATTCGTGGAGTTCCTGATTCTCCAATCAGGTTTTTGCTGCCACCTCCATTGAAACCAAGATTTTATTCAGCCAGTCCCTCCTGAGCAGTGCTGATCTCTGGGATGTGTTATGTTAATGATGCTATTTCCTATTCCTGGTGCTCCCAAGTGCAAGAGCTCAGTAGGACATAAGCAAACTCATTCCTTATCTAAAGC